GACGACCTGGGGCTGCTCGGGGTGCACTTCCCGGCCCCCGGCTGCGACCTCGCGACAGGGCTTCGCTGTCCCGCCTGGGTATCCCCTGACGGCCTCCTCTCCGGGGCCTCGCCGTCCCCGCGGGCAGGACCTCCGTGCCCCGGGGCGCCTGGACCAGCCCTGCCCAGCCTCCTAAGCCCCCAGAGCCGGTTTGCCCTCAGCGACCACGCACCCCTGTCCGACCCGCAGGGTGGATTCTGCCCCACGGACCTGCAGAGTGACCTGCTTCCCCCTCGCAAGCAGTCCAAGGAGGCGTGGGTCCTTCCACAAGAGTTGGACCGTTTCCCGGGCCGCTCGGCCTGGGCAGAGTCGGGCTGGGGCGACTGCACCTTTGGGGAACCCTCTGGGTACGCGCCCGCAGCTGCCGACTGTATGTTGGACAAGCGCACCCAGGTGCGCACTGTGCTCTGCTGCATCTTCCCGCCAGAGCAGGTGGACCGCGTGATGGCCTTGTTCCCTGCACAGTCTGACATCACCAGGCTCATCCTCCTCATCCAGAGATTCCAACGGGCTGCTGCGCCGCTGGGAACCCCCTAAGGAACTCGTCTAAAGGACTGCGAGTGATGTCCCAATCTCCCCTGCAACGTGGGCCGAGTGGGCCGACGGTTACAAGCGTGAACCTGAGCCAGCCCACCCTGTAGGGCCCCCTTTTCTTTAAAGATACTCAGGGAAGCCTATTTCCTCATCCTCAGCGCACCCGTTGTGGCGCTTGGTGACCCTCACTGACTCTGGCCGTGCTGCGTTGAGGTCCATGTCCTGGGGGAAGAAGGTTGACCACATCCCCAGGGGAGTGGTTTCTTAACGGGGTGGCAGACTACAAGCCCCACTGCAGCCCCAAGGGTTTGTGGGAAATAGTTCATGGCTGTTTTTCTCAAACGGCAAGTGAGACCCACAGGAGGGTCACAACGTGAATTTAGCGGGTCAGCACCAGAAATGGAATGGAATGGACCAGTGGGAGGACACCCCAGGTAATAAGGCTAGGTATTATTTCCTAAAACTTATGTTTGTTATCTACATATGTGCGTGTCTGTATACCCTTGGTAGCCTTGTAAAATTTTCTTAATGTGGGTCGTGGTCACAAGTTTGAAAAAATACTGGTAAATGGTCTTAAATTTCACTGCATCAAGTAATGCTTGAAATATGTAGTCAGATGGCCAGTGGTGGTTTGGTACCTGGAGGTTTTCATGTTTCTAACCTCACCCACAAAGGGAATCAGTGTTCTAACTTTGATGTGGGGGCTCCCCTGTGGTACCGAAATCTCCTAGTTGTGCGAGTCTGTGGAGGTGTGGCCCGGCACTTTGTCCTGAGGGCTTGCCTCTGGGGCCTTTACCTTCTTTGAACATGCATACCACACACGTCCCACAAAGATATCACACACATAGCACATACACATACACCACATATCATATACTTACCACACACACCACATGACCACACACAAACATCACACACACACACACACACACACCACACACAGACACCACACACACAGCACACACATACACATTGTGCACACATCATTCACATATGCCACACACACCACACACCACACACATCACACACACGCATACCACTTATACCATGCACAGAGACACATACACCTATTCTTGGCTCAGGACTAAGCACCTCCACTTTTTCAGCCGTCCATTATGGCGGCTTCTGGCACTGGAGCCTTCTAAGCCCCACCTCACAGCTAAGCCAAGGCCTAGTGAGTCAGGACTGTTGCTCAAAAACCTCTAGTGTGCCAGCAAGAGAGCTGGGATGAGCCTCGAGCCCAGAGGTTTATTGCTACCTTCCCCCATTGCTGTTTCTTCCAGCCGGCCACTGCTTTGAGTTTTTGCAGGGGGGAAAAAAGGGAGAAGAGGACAAGTCATTCTCAATAGATAAGAAATGAGGATGGTTAGCCAGGGCAGGGACCCACCCCCCCCACCCCATCTTCAGGGGGCTGTCGCATCTCTAGGCAGCACCTGCCCATTCCTGGGCACGATTCTAGCTCTCCAGGTCTCGGCTCGTTTGTTAGTTAGGGGACTTGTTAGCTTGGCCATTCAGGGAGACTGGGAGGCGCTTATGGTGGAAAACCAGCCCCCACCCCACCGCCCCGTAAGCTTCCTGGGGTCTTGCAAGGGCAGAGGAGACTCTTTTTAGTTTATACTAGGCTGCCTGTAATGTTGCTACAGCCCAGGGGGCACCTCAAAAAAATCCATCCCCAACCACCTTACTCATGGCAAGCATTGTCGCCGTTGTGTGCTGTCGCGTGGATTCTGACTCATAGCAACCCCATATGACACGATAGACTGATACTGCGTTTCCCTGCGGTTCATCTTTTTTTTTGTTTTAAATAACTTTATTGTGGTAAAATATATATAACAAAACATTTTAACCATTTTAACTACTTTTAAGCATGCAACTCAGTGACATTAATTACATTCATCATGTTGTACAACTATCACCATTATCCATTTCCAAAATCATCTTTATAAACTATATTCTTTGCATGACTTAAGCCAGCTTTCTCCCTCACCCCCCTTTTCCAAAGGGGACTCTGCACCCACAATTTTGCCTGATTATTTGGGGACCTGACTCCTGAAGAGGGCCTGCTTTTTCTAAATGAACTGGATTTTCCTTGTGACTTTTTATTTTTTTCTTTTGATAAGACAAGCTTTCTGTTTGGCCTGCTTTCTGTCCGTCAGGTCTGTTTCCTGCCTTGGAATTGTTGCATTGCTGATTTATAGTTGGAAATGTTTAAACTGCTTCCTTTGAGGCCAAGTTTGAGTTTTAGTAAGCTGTAAAGCTATTTTTATTTGGTTCACTGTAATTAAGACAAGCACAAAAACAAGTGCAGAAACAACACTTTTCAAGTGTAATCCCCTTTGGAGTTTTTTTTTCCAAAGTCTTTGTATGTCTTTGTGACACAAAGCATGGAAGGGACAGGTGAATGGAATGTCCCTAGCTGCATAGCTCTTCGCGTGCTCCCAAAATAAATCACTTTCACCCATACCTGGGCTCTTCACTGTGAAATTGTATATCCAGTTTCTCTTTCGTCAGCTCTTTCCCCC